CAAGTAACAATCAAACGAGTTGAAGCAGCAATAAGGTAACAAAATGTTACTTTAAAAAGATCATATTAGATAGTTTTGCTTGACATTACGATCACACACCAATCCAGTGAATGCAACTCTGCATTACAAACACGTTTGAGTATTATAATGAATTTGAGATTCTGAAATATACCTGACATTCTTTATAAACACCCTCTTCTTCACGTTCAATGTCTTCATCTGTTCGAACAACCCGTGATTCGTATTCTTTTCCCTCTTTCCTACCAAATTCGTGCACATAATCTGGCATCCAATCCTTAAAATCAATACGGTGATAACAGAAAACTAAAATCAGTCAAAACATTAAGATGAAAGTTATCGTTGAACATCTCTTCCTAAGAATTTATTCAATTGACATTTTCAAATAACGATAACAACCATTTTCAAACAAAATAACGATAACACAACAAAATCACTCTTGAACACAGCAAATTTTCTTGGTGACACGACGTTCGTAAACGACTCTTCATGAATACACCTCATACTTCGCAAATGTCATGCGAAATGACCATTTCAGAGTACCATGAAAGGAAACAACAGTTCTAAACCTCGTTGATGGGGGAAGGTTCTTTGGTCACTGGATCATCAGTGGATGCAGCAGTGTTATGAGGCGCAGAAATCTGCTGATCAGTTGTTGTGGTTGCTTCTGAATCTGTTTTCGTGTCTGCATCAGCGATGGGCATCACTGGATCATCAACATCAATAAATTCATCGCTTTCATCAGATGACGATTTCGCACTATCAGACCAAGTGTCGCGTTGTAAGTCTGCAACAGCAACATTCGCAAACTGTCATATATTCATACTTATTTGGCTGTACTGATCAAGCCTGTTCTGTCAGATATTCATTATTACTTCAGGATGCTGCCTTGTATTCTGGGCGACCTCTTATATTTTGGACGAGTTCTTATATTTTGGGCGACCTCTAATATGTAGCGACTTTAATTCTACTCTATGACATCAACGACTGCTGCATCAACAGCAATTTTTGAGAAGTTCTTCTTCATTGCCGTATGAAGTCACTTATTTACTTTCCACCGCTGACATTGTTCCGAGTATAATTGTTTTAGTTCATATACATCGAAAGGATTTCACATCTATGCTCAAAGTAATCTCTCGCACATTCAATATACCACCATAATATGCATATCGCATCAAATCAACGAATGCAATCTGCACCTCTCGCTCTTCTCGCAAACACGTTGCTGAATCGTTCGACAACATCACTTTTTGATTCATCTCCATACGAACATTCGGCTCCTTTCGAACTACCTTTCATTGATGTCTCACGTATCGACATGGCGATAGCCTGAAACACTTTAAATCTTACAATGGGATTGTGATGGTGTTTGCCAAACTTGAGAACCGAATGTTTTTATCAGTGACTCGAATGTGATCAGAAAATATCTGTAGTCTTTCTGGTTTGAAAAATATTCGGACTGCAACCACGCAAGTTCATAAGGACAATATAGTGACAGTGAGAAGTGTTGAGCAGATATAGAGATAAGAACGATGTAATAAAACCTCTTGAA